TCGCACGAACTCCACTGGGCGCAGCGCGCCTCCAAGCGCAGGCCACGACTTGACTGTACGTACTCCGGACGTGCACCCCGCGAAGCGAGAGGAATCATGGCACAAAGCTATATGATGTGTTCGATGTTCTCGGGAACCTCGATCTTGAAACCCTTTACGGAGTCTCCGTTGTTGCACGCGTGACGACGCGCGCGTGTGGATGTCGTTTCATGTGTTGCAAGGGATCCAGGGAAATTCATGATTTCTGATAAACGAACGCACGCGCATTATACTCATTGACAGGGATGAGGGGGGCGGTCGCTACTGGCTGGGCTGGGATGATATGAATTAATGTCTAGATTGAACGAGTCGGCAAAAACATGTGTCAATCAAATCGTAGGATCCGCGGGGGGGGCCAATACGCCTGTGTATGGGGGTGGTAGATCAGACTTTTGTTTAAAATCTCGGACTCTGGCACTGCATCTGAATATTCGTTGGCGCCCGCGAGAAACATGCGCGTGCTACAAGGCGACGTCAAAACTCAGTGGGTTCGTGCCTCAACGCCGCCTGTGGTAGGGGCCTTATTGCGCCAGTATTGGGCCGCCTTTGGGCCGTATCACTCGCCCCTCCTTCCTCATACCTCCGACCTCCGCCCAACTGTCTCCTCGCTCCCTCCTCCCAGTTCCCTGCTCACATTTTCCTTCGTGGCTCTCCCCTCCCTGGTTCCTTCGGGCATGACATGTACCGAACGCCTTCGACACCACTAGATAAGAAAAATCTCCGGACCCTTCTGAGATGGATGCACCGACGAAGAGGAAGCCACAGCAGCGCATGGATACTTTCAAGGCGACTCACACTGTGCCCTTTGAGCGTGTCTTTTCCCTCTCCCGCTCCTCGTCCTTTGTCTCCTGTGCCCCCTGTCCCCGAAGCTTCCTCTGCATCCGCCGAGTCGCCTGACAACTTTTTCTCGCACTGTAGAATCACAGCGTCTGGGACCGCCCCAGACGACAATGATATGGCCGTGAGCAGGGTCCTATATGTAAGAGACCGCGCATGGGCGTCCGTAGTTCCATTAGCACAGATCTCGGCGAAAGCGTACATGGAGACATCATCCACTGCTCTGTAGGAGCAAGCGCCGTTTCATAGCTCTGGACAAGTAAGAACCCGTCACCCCGCTGATGGCCCAGATGTGTGACCGTACGAAGACCCTATTTTGCATAGTGGTGCGAAGTTCGAATTCGACCTGAAGATGCGCGACAAGAGATACCGCGCTGCACCGCTGCGAACCCACCAGCCTTTCAGGGGGTGTGGTTTAGCGGGTTTCCTCTTCCAACCCCCTTCTTTCCCTTCGGGGAGGAGCCCATCACTGTTCCAATGATAAACACCCCCTCCCGCAGGCGACCAGCAGCCAACTGGGATCAATGAGAGCTCCCCTCACCATCCCTGTCAAAAACAAAATGAAGTCCACTTTTTCCACGGCAAACCATCGAATGTTATATGCTTGAGGTGATCCAGCCCACTGTGCACGACAGAGACTCGCCAGACAATCCCAGAACGCGACACAAACCGTGGGGCAAAATCGTGAGGCAAAATCGTGGGTCATGCTCGGAGGGACCACGAGCACTTTCTATTTTGTTTGTTGACGGGGGCGGCGGGGTGCCCACGGATTGCCTGCTGCGCGCAGGGCCGGCATCCCGATCAAAAAACAATGCAAAATCCATTTCCAGACAAAATCCGGATCACGCGCGGGTACCCTGCGATCACTACGCATTGGTTCTTGACTGGGACGGCTGGGTTGCTGGCATATTGCCTGCTATGTGCAGGCCCACCAGACGCTATGATGGCCACCCCGCCGCGATTGCGTACTGGTTTTCGACAAGGGTGGCGGTGGGGGCCGACACGTTCCCCGATGTGTACTGCCACGTGCGCAGGCGCACCTGCAACACTCTGCGCGTGCCCCGAACGTGGCGCCCCTGGCGCGGCTGGAGCATACGGCACGCATGGCGCATGTGGATCACGTGGCGCATCTGGCGCACCAGGCGTTCCCGGCACGCTTGGGCCACAGGGGAGCCTGGCGCACCTGGCGCGAGTGGCGCGCCTGGCGCACCTCGCCCCAGCGTTGTGCACATGGGGTTTGTCATGGTTCCAATTAGCTGTCCATCCAAAGACTACCGCTTGACACGCTGCGGCTCGGGTGCAGCGTTTGTGTTGGGAGGGCGGGTGGGAGTGAGCGAGATGGCTTGCGGGCGGGGAGGGTGTCTTGACCCCTCCCCCTATACCCCCTCCCCCAGGACATGGACGGGGCGCCCCGCGAGGCGTTAGAGCGTCCAAGGTAGGCTCGGGGAGAATGCCACGATCATTGATTTTGCTCCGGTTTTGCCAACATGTTGGCCTCCTGGGGGGGGACCCTAATCAACCCTCCCCATCTTTGATCGACGATCTCCCCCAAACGGCCCCAAGAGGCTGCCCTGAGGAACCCACGACGCACCAGGATGCCCCCTGGTGCTGCCAAAGCCCCCCAAGACGCCCCAAGAGTACTCCAAGAAGCTCTTGAAGGACACCTAGAGAGACTCCAGAAGGCATCCAAAAAGCCTCTGGCCTTTCTGCTCGCCCTCCTCCTTCTCCTCCTCCTATTCATCTTCCTCTTCCGCCCGATTTGATCCTCCTTCCTCCTCCCTCCTCCGTTCTCCCCCCTCCCCCTCTCCCTCCCCCTCCTCCTCCTCCTTCCTCCTCCTCCTCCTCCTCCTCCTCCTCCATCCTTCCACTCTTGGGGTGCGACGCCTTGCCCGGCCCGTCCTTCCGCTGCGTGCTCCTCCACACCCCTGATGAGGGTAGCTCGTCTGAGCATCGCTGCTGGATGGGCCGGTGGTGAGGTTACGCGAAGCTTCCAGGACAGCATGGCCCGGAACCCTACATGATGACCGGCGGCGGGCCCTACACGAGCTGCGTTCCGAGCCCCATCGCCCGAGACACGGGCACGCCCGGGTGGCCAATGAATCTGCTTACGGATTGCAGCACAAGGAGGCGAAGAGAAACACGCGACGAGACTCGTCTGGGTTCCCGCTAGCAGTTGGATGCGGCAAACTTGGCCAGTGGACGAGCCACTAACGTACCCCATCCGTGTGAGAGAGCACGACGGCACCGCTGAGAACACGATGTGTGATGGGAGGAACATGAGAAAAAAAGGCAGCAACAATAGCAACAAGCGGACTTGATGCGTATAGTATGCGTGGCTGTCAGGCCCGAACAAATGACAGCACAAGGGTAGGGAGGGAAACGAACTACATAATGGACTTGGTCCTGACGCGGTGGCAGTGTTTGTATGTCTGGCTTAGCGTCGACGATCGAACAGTGCACATCACAAAATACGGAGAGTAAACAAAAGGTGGGCGCATTACGCCTGGCCGTGCCGAGATGACGGACCCGCAACACACATCAAACGAGGCTTGACGGGAGAAACCTGATAGAATGGGCTTCGTCCTGGTGGTAAGGCGGTGGTTCGGGATCTTGTCGGTTTCGCGATGTGCACAGCACGGAGTTCAGGGCATGCATGGTGAATATGCGGGCTGAGTCCTGCTAGTCTGTGGGCTGGGTCGTCGCGGTCTAGTCTCTACGGGCTTCCGACGGCCCAAGACGGTCCAACCATCCGCCAAGTCCGCCTCAAATCAACCGAAGAGGTCCCGAAAAAGGGCCCAACAAACAACAGCCCAAAAGATAGGGAGCGGAAAGACAGTCGGGTCAGCGCTGGGTTCCAAGGGAGCTGCTGGAGTGCCACCAAAGCCACCCGAGCGCTGACCTGACCAATCACGCGTGGAACTGCCGCCACAGGGCAACTATGACTATGAGCCGGGGCAATACTCGGGCCACCAAGGAATCACCTGAGGGGACTCCACCGACCCGAGCGCTCACCCGACCGTCTTTTGATCCCGAATGAGGGCCGCAAAACGACCCAAGAAGGCTTCCCACAGGGCCCACGAGGCCCCCAAAAGGCTCTCAAGAGGGGCCCCAGAGGGGAACCCGAACTGCAGTATCGAGACATCCTTGCGGCGCTGGAGAAAAGGCCCAATAACCAGCCATGTGATATTCGACAGCTTCTGAGGCGAACGCGCGCGGCGCTGAAGATAGAGAGCCCTGCCTTGAAGACAAAGAAGCCCCCACCCTTGTAGAGTCTCAAATGTCTCAGTCGAGTGCGCGCGGCGCAAAGGCGAGAGCACAGTTTTGAACACCACCTGACTTCCGCCCCGTGTAGCTGCTGGAGGTGCTGCGACTCTCACGGCGGCAAGCTGCAAGGGGGTTCACAGCGAAGCGATACAGGCCCGGCCTGCGGACACACACAGTGGTGCGAACGGGGAGGAGCTGCTCGACCGCGCAGTGGGCGCACGCCTGCCAGGCGCCTCCGCGCACATGAGTGGTCGCTGCGGCGGCGGCGCCATAGGTGTCTGCACGGAAGCGATGGGGCGCCATAGGTGTTCGCCCTCGCGGCCCCCCGTCCAGCCCTTTTCAGCATCTGAGCTGGAGGCGACGGAGGGGGAGGGGGAAGGATCTGGCGGGATCTGACGGGCCAGCCTCCAGAGAATCGAAGAGAAAGGAATGGTGGCGATGAGACTGCACTACCCACCCCCTGGCCAGCCCTGGGCGCCAAGGCGACGCGATGAAACTTTTTTTGCGTCGGCGCGTAGGCAGAGGGTGACTGCGCTGGCGATACAACAAGGCATAAGCGGGGGTTCCGTTGAAGCAAATTGTGCCACCATGCATGTAAGAGGAGGAGGGAGGAGGGATGCGGCCGAAGGAAAACAAGAACGGGGCGGGCAGCTCAGGGGACAGAGCGCTCTCCGAACGTGTGGCGCGGCCGCCGCGATGAAACCGCATTGTCGAACTGAAACTGACGGTGTCGCTCCAACTCCCTTGCGAACCTGCCATACACGGTCGCCGGGGAGGGAGACAGAGGGGCACGAGGAGGACGGCGACGACGAACGCGGCGGCGGCGCCGCGCCCCGAAGGGCGAGGCGCACCCGCAAGGCCTGCGCGGCGCCAGGCCCTGTCGAACGCCTGGTCGGCGGTACTCGCCCCCACGACCAGCTCGCTCGCGCCCTCGGCCGCCTCTACGCGCGGGGAGGGGGCGTCACCCGCGCGTGCGGGGCCCCGCCCGTCGAAGCCCCGACGTGCCCCCGCTGTTTCCTTTCCCTGTCCCTCCCCCTCTAACCTGCCCGCCCACCCTCCCCGCCCCCCTCCCTCCTGCTGCTGCTGCTGCTGCTGCTGCTGCTGCTGCTGCTCCTCCTCCTCCGCCTAGATCTATCATTCCTGATACAAGGACGGGGCCCTCAGTCAGGCCACGTCTTCAATCTGTGATTAAGGGTAATCCTCGATGAGAGTTGGCGATGGGGCGTCGATGCAGGCCACCCTGAGCCAATCCCTGTCCCCAGAACTTTTCGCGCCATAACTCTGGCCCCCGGCGGCCGTTAGGGACGATCCGGGCACCCCCGGAACGCTCTCGGCGAGGCGCAGCTGCTGAAACACATCCCGAGGCTGTACAACCGCCGACAAGCGACGAAACCGCTAGGGAACCACCGACGATCCTGAGCATGTCCCCTCCTAAACGTCGCCCCTCTCCCTCATCCTCCGTGCCGGGGCCGCCTCCTCTCCTCTCCTTCCTCCTCCTCCTCCTTTGCATAACTTTAGTGCGACCGCCGAGCCGCAATTTTCGGCATCACCCCTGCTCACGCACCGTCTGGTGCAAGGCTTACCTGACTGACCTGACTCTCCCTCCTCCCCTCCTCGCCGGCGCCGGTGCCCGAGCAATGGCGGGGGATCCCGGCCGGTGCGTGCGCCTGGGTCAGCACCCGCAGGAGGCGGAGGAGCTCCTCATTCAGCGCGCGGCGGCTGAGTCCGGCGAGCAACTCGGGGCCACCGTGGGGAGTCGTCGTCGAACGGTGGCATAAGCATGAAGCTGCGCTGAACAACAACAAACCAGACACAGTTATTCAGCTTGACATGGCAAGAAGAACGGAGCACTGGACGGCAAGACGCAAGTCATCTACAAAGAGCACGCCAATCCTGGCGGTCCGCGTCGAACAAGCCAACCCACTCTCCCCGCGATACCGCTACCGCTACCCTTCTGTCGTCGCCACACCAGCAGAATCCCTAGGTCAGAACACGCCGCTTCAGAGGTCCAGGAGGAGGGGGAGGAGGGAGATCCCCACCTCCTCTCGTCGTGAAGAGCAAACTGCGGGAGGCTCTTTGCCGTTTTCGGCCACCAGGGCCTTCATTGGGCTCCTAAACCGCAAAAAAAACGGCTCGGGATAAAAATCCGGTCCCATGGACTGGGCGAAGTATCTAGGAGTCCACGTCGCGAGAAATCAGTGTAGGAATCATGGGGAGGAGGGAGAGGTCGTGGGATAAGCTGGATAAGCTGGAGGAGGACGCAGTCCCATCTCCCCAAGCCGACCTGGAGCCGTCTGGCAGCCTCCGAAAAGCCTCGAATGAGACGCCGCGGGGGGTGGGGGAGGGGGGATCGTGCTCGACTCTGCACCCATTGCTGCCCGTTTCACTTCCAACTGGTCCCCGGCCTGGCCCTGATCGGCGGTGAGAGGAAGGAGGACAAAGAGGGCGAGGAGCGCGCATCAACAAGGGAAGCTTGTCCCCACTGCGGCTGCAGGGCCAGGGAACGAGAGCAGAGAGGGGGACTGCCCGCGAGTGGAATCGAGTCCAAACATACACTGGGCGGCGGACCTCCCGTTTGAGGACGAGGGGGAGGGGGAGGAGGGAAAGGAAGGTGAGGAGGAGGAGGAGCCACAGGACATGAAGGAGCTCAGCTGCGGCAGTGGGTCCGGGGAGGTGGAGATAGAGCGTCGGGAACGCCCAGACGCGGAAAGAGAGGCGGGAGACGTCGCTCGGAAAAATCCCCGTCCCTCAGAGCGCGCCCGCACTCAAAACCGACATCGACTCCTCAAAGTGCTGCACGAGCAACGGGTTGCCAGTATCAATGGGTGAAAAACCACCGGCCAGGCCCTCAAGCTCGCCACTCGGCGACTCGCGTTGTGACTACTGGTGTACGTGTGGGGGGGTAACAACATGCAGACACTGATCATGAGAAAATGGGCCGTCCCACAGAGAGCTGTCCTACTTATAGACGTAACTCTTCGAATCGAGCGGTCGGCATCGACGAGTGAGACACCGACCAAGCCCTCAAGCTCGCGACTCGAGACGTGCCCACCAAACGCGGCGACCGCGAGCCCTCACCAACCGCGGCGTTCCTTCTGCCACGCGCAAGAAAACTTGAGGAACTGTTGAGGCAAGCGACACCATCCCCATGTCTGAACACGGATAAGAAAGCGAAGCGGAAATGATGCACGTCATTGCCCACACAGAATCGGAACGCTCCGATTATACCCTCGACACGGCGGCGTCTTCCGCCTGGTGTCGCTTCAGGTTGACAACGCGCGCTGCACTCCTCCAGCCCCCAGCTTTCAACAGAACCGCCAGAGACCCTCCTGCGTCAATAATGTCCTTGGTCATTCCTCGCCTCAACGCGTGGCTGCCCAGCTTTTCGCATTCCGGCAGACCAGCGGCCACCGCGTGGCGGCGAAGATCTTGGACTGAAGGGGCTGGGGACCGCAAAAGCAATTGGCTCTGGCTAATTTTACAGCTTAGATGCAACATGACTTGCCGGAGGTTCTGCAATAACACTGCCGTCGAAGTGCCGACGGGCCACGGGCGTGCTTCCAGTTCATCAGGGTGACCTAAGCAACCCCGCTTTGGCAGCGCACTTCCAAATGTGAGCCGACAACCTGCAGCGGCAATATTTCGGAGGGGGGCCCGACGAGCAACAACTGACCACCTCGCCGCGTGCGACGAAGTGGTTGATGAGCCTACATATTTGTGCCGTTTGTAAGCCCAAGCTAATCTTCGGGGCCAGCGCAACTTCCCAGAATCCCGCCGCACTGGCTGAACCACAGACGTGCACCAATCGTTCGGCACATAAACCCGTGCGCCCAACGTGCATGCTGGAGAGACGTGCGCACCGTATCGGGGATAGTGAACACGGAACAGAATTGCAGGATGCCTTGCTCGCTCCTACACAGAAAAGTGCGGTTGCGTGATCGCGTCGTCACAACTAAGTAGTGACCTACTTCTGGCCTGCAACACGTGGCGTTGCAATTGTTCGTCTCTCACAACAACTCCTTGCCTGCGCCCTGACACGCACTCTAAATCCTGACAGTGTTTCTTGGTGAGGGTGCCGTGAGAAGCTCTCCAGGATCTTGCGCCCGCGTAGGGACACAACAACCTATTCAAATTGCATTCCGATGCCACGCTCTCTTCCTTCCTTCCCGAACTGGGGGAAAGGGGAAAGAGGCCAAGGAATGAAGGGAGGAGAGGGGAAAACAAAAAAAGAGAGAAGTAGAGAGAGAAGGAAGGCATTGGAGGAGGAGAGAGCCCTCCATCCTTCTCCCTCACTCCACTCAGCCTCGCTCCGCCTTTCCCCTCTCCCTCCGCCCTCCTCCTCTCCCTTTCTCATCCTGATTTCTCTCCATCCCTTATCCCTCTCCTCCTCCTCCTCCTCCTCCTCCTCCTCCTCTTCCTTGTCCTCCTTCTCGCCCTTCTCCTGTGGAAATTGCACAAGCTCTGGCACTCAGGGCTGTAACGTCCGACCTCCTCTTCCTCCTCCTCCTCCCTCCTCCGGGGAGGACGATCGGTCCGCATCCCTGTCGCGATGGCCCGTAAACCTATGGGCGCAGCGCGCAGGTGACGGGACGCTTCCGCGTCCCGAGGGCCAATCCCGTGATTACAGCACGGCGGAATCACATCCTCCCTCCCCCTGCTCCATCCTCACCTCTCCTTGTTCCTCCCTCCTTGTTCCTCGGCGCTGGACCCCCTCCTTGGCGCGCGGAGGGTGCCGAGGGCGGCGTCGGAGCCGCCACAAGGGGTCTTCAGCGGCGATTCGAATAAATCCAAGCGGACCTCCGAAGGTCAATGTTTATGTCGTGTGTTGTTCCCCGGGTTATGAAAAGCCCTCGCCCCTCGCCCTCGCGAGGGGATGCTTTGCCGAGTCGCTTGCTGGCTCTCTCGAATCGATACTAACCGACGCCAGTCCAACACTTATCGACGTGAGTCGACGCGCCAGTTCGACGCCAATCAACGCTTGTTTTAGGTCGGGCATGTCCTCCTAAAGGCGGAGATTGGGCGAAAAATGATAATTTACAAAATATGCTCAACAAAATGAAAATCTAAAAATCGTTCCCGGACAATTTGAAAACTGCCTTGAAATATTGCCCCTGTGGAGGGACACGCCCGACTTAACGCTAGCTGCACGCTAATCGACACGAGTTCCGAGGACACGCAGGGCGCCCATGATTTTCTGCCCAATCCCTCCTCGCTCCAGAAGAAGTGGCGGCGCGCAGAGGTGGGCAGGGGGGGAGGGGGGAAAGCTTTCTTGTTCCCCCCCCCAGCCAAAGCACATGATGGTGAAAACTGCCAGCGTCCCAACTGATGGGTAGAGGACTCCACCATGTAGGCCTAGAGAAGGCTTCTTAGAAGGAGGCTGCTTCTTAGAAGCCGCGGGCCTTGCACCCACTGACCAGGCCCGCGCTCTCTAGGAAGCAGAGGCGCTTCTCAGAAGCCTTCCTCCCTCCCCCGTACCCCCCTCTGCGCGCCGTCAGACGAAGCCCTCGCCCTCTCCCTCGCGAGGGGATGCGTTGGCAGGCCGCCTCGGGGGCGGCCTCCGCGGCGGCCTCATCCCCTCGCCACTCGCGAGGGGAGGAGCAACAAAGACCTCCGACCACGAAGACCCCGGAGCCCTCCCGCCGCACTGCCGCGGCCGCCCGGCGTCGCCGCTGCCGCCCGATGTGTCGCCAACGACGATGACGACGACGACGACGACGACGACGACGACGACGACGACGACGACGACGACGACGACGACGGCGGCGGCGGCGGCGGCGGCGGCGGCGGCAACGACGACAACGAAGACGAACGACGATAACGACGACCACGACGACGACGACGGCGACGTCGACGGCGACGACGCTCTGGCATGCCGCTTGGGGGGCGGCCTTCGCGGCGGCCTCGCCGGCGGGCGCCGCCGCCCCCGCCTGCAGCACCCGCGCCAGCTCCGCGAGGACGGTGGCGTTGCGCTGCCGGGTCATCGCCTGGGCGGCGGGCGCGCGCGGGGCGGGGGAGGAGGCTTGAGGCTCGGGCCCTCGAGGCTCCTCCCTCCTCCTCCTCCCCCTCCTCCTCCTCGTCCTCCTCCCCCTCCTCGGATTCCTCGTCCTCCTCCTCCTCCTGCCTCCTCCTCCCCCTCCTCCGCCTCCTCCTCGCCATCCTCGTCCCTGCCCCTCCTCCTCCAGCTCTTCCTCCTGCCCCTCCTCCCCCTCCTCCTCCCCTTCCTCGTCCTCCTTCTCCTCGTCCTCTTCCTCACAATCATCCTTCCTCCCTCTACCTCCCGATGTTCGAGGTACGAAGTATGAGGCTCGAGATACTCAAATAAACGGTTCGATCAAGTAAACGGTTGGGCTCACACCGACGCTGCAGCCTGCGTACATCTGGCTGTTCCACCCGCTGCTTGGCAAGCAAAGCTGGCTACACTGGCCCTCTGGCCCGCTGCTGGTGCGCAGCGCTGGCTTTTTTGAAACATCAATGTTGGAACCATGTCAGGTTAATCATCTTCGGCAGCGCAGCTGACTTGACCAGCAGCCGGGGAAACGTGCAGAAGAGTTCTCGCATATCCCCGAGAGAAATGCATTAAAGCAGGCACGAAATGGGGAGCAGCCCACCGCATCCCACTCAGCCGAGTTGTGCTGTGTCGCTGCGGCAGAACCAGTTCTTGGACGACATCTTTGCAGCATGCGAGGATCCGCAGGCTCCAGTGACAATGGGGGGGATGAGAGCGCTTTTGGATTCGTACCTTTCCCCAGTCGCAGAATATGTTCAGCGTTTGGGCCACGACTTTCAAGAGTTGCAGCAAAAGGTAGAGAACGACATGGAAGAGATCAAGGACGAACGACGCATCTCCGGGATAATGTGGACATCTTGATGAATTATTGCGCGACGCTGGACAAGCATGTCGAAGACAGCATCTTGATTCGCATCGCCGACATCGAGCAGGGGATCGCAGACTTGAAGACGCATGCAAACACTCCACGGTCAGCCACCTCCGCTACAATAGCGGCGACCCGGGGAATCTACCCTAGTGCTCGGTGGCCTTCCGTTGCCGACGCTCGCAGATGCCACGGAGTTGTACCAGCACGTTTTGAAGAAAGCGGAAGTTGAGGCACAGAAGATGTACAATGAAAGTCCAAACGAAAATGTCAAACGAAAACGTACTCTCCGACACGCACAAGAAGGCCCTAAAAGCTCACGACGCCCTTCAGCACGCCTGCGCTGCAGTGCAATACTCCAGGGATGGCAGCCGGAAAAATGGGAGATCGTTGCTCTTGGGATTCCGTCCTCCTCTCACCAAATGGGGCTTTGAGAAGAAATACCTAAAAGTAGACACAGACACGGGGACGGTCAACACCGGCGGGCAACTGATCATGACCGCCTCTGTGACGAATGCCACTCTCAACATAAGTTGGAAAGAAGCGGAGTGGGAGCAATGGTGCGAGCTTCAGAAGGACCTGGAGTGGCTCACGAAAAACCCACGTATTGCTTCACCTTCTTGGGACAGGAGCGTCCAGGAAGACACTAACATGCACGAGGAACGGTTGAATTTTAGAACAAGGAACCTGCGTGGCCTTACTGACTTGAGGCTTTCAAATATTGTCAACCACATGGCTCATCTCAACAACAATATGTTGCGCATGCAAGGAACAAGACGTCCCCGATCCGAAATTAATGAGCACGATAGGTATTATGTGGTATTATCGGGGCAGACACGAATGACCCGACATGGGCAGGAGTTGGGATCGTCGTGGCGCCGTCGCACAGGCAGAGGATACGGTTTTGCAAACAAGTCCGCGGCCCCTAGAGGCGTGTGAGACTCTCAACAATGAACGTGTTGACGCGTTCCAAAACAACTGGGACTCACACTACAATCGCAAGGGTTTTGAATCGCGCAGACGCGCACCTGGATCTCAACTGATCCTGAGCTCAATACCCAGCACAAAGCGACTCGCGATGATAACCCAAATAATTGTAGATATTGAGGTAGCACTCCGTCGCATGTGCCACCTCGTTTCTTAATTGAACACGGTGCTGGTTGGTACCTCGCATATGCATGGACACGCTATCTCTGCCACATACTTAGTTGGAACACGCGCACGATGCTCATGAGTTCCTACTCTGATCCGTTTGATGTCTCCTCGCCGCGCCTCCTCTTATAACCAAAACTGGCAAACTTCGATGTGTCTGACCGTTCCCCATCCGCGCCTGCTCACAATGGCAGCGTTGACCGCCATGGGCGGCGGGACGCTCGCCGCGCGCGCCCTGGAACACGGCCGGGCGCGCATCCCCAGGGCAGCGCAAGTGGAGCAGGCTGCGGGAGGGAGGGGCGAGCGGCCTGACGTCCACTCCCTGCCGACAACGGTCCCCGGCTGGCCGTGGTTGGTGAGAAACGTGTTCTTCCGACGACACGGGCAACGTCTCAAAAGGCGAGAAGGCTTCTGAGAAACCCCGCCGCCTTCTCAGCAGGCTACCCCTCTGACGCTACCCCCCAAAGCGCGCCGCGGAAGTTCGATCGGAATGGGCACGGGAAGAATAAATACGAAGACCGACAGCCCATGGCTTTTCTGGGGTCGGCGGCAGAGGCGGCAGCCTTCAGGTTTCAGACAAACTATCAATTCTGAAGCTGAAGGTTCGTGCCAGCTCATTCGGTACCCTTTGTGGTTACGCGCCGCATAACGCGAGACCGCTGGAGGAGCGTCGGGCTTTCGACAATTATGAAAAGCACCGCGCCTGCTCTGCCATCCGTTGGAAAATAGTTGCCGGCGAATTCAATGCCAGGCTTGGGCACGCGGACGCTGGCGAGGCCAGCGTGATCGGGGAGCACACGTGGGGCTGGCGGGCACTCCACGAAGTCGAAACCCCGAATCGTGAGTTGCTCGTGGACGTACACAAGGCTCTCTCTCTCTCTCTCCCTGAAAGTAGCTCATACATACTTCGACCGTCCTCCTCACGGGAAGATCACATTCATGGAGGCTGGAGCTCTCCCTAACGGTGACATCAAATCAGACAGAGAACATCTTGGATTGTGTCCCTTGCAGCGACGCGAAACTCAATTCTCTGCACTGCGTGAAGAGTCATCGGAGACCAACGCTGGCAAGAGACCGTTACCTCGTTACGTGCTCACTCGGGGTTCGCACTCCGGGGGCCGCGACAAAGAAGGGCCGCCAAAAACATACAGACGCTCTACGGGATCCAGAAACACAAAAGATGCTTCAGAAGCTTTTCTGGGAGCTGTCAACGCGTTTCGAACACCCGCCCCTACGGTTGACGAACTGTGGCAGCGCGGGGAACAGGCAGCTCTGAACGCGGCCAGGATCTTGCCAGAACGCTCCCGAAGATTCAGAAGCCGAGGATAACTCAACATACTTTGGATCTCATTGCACGGAGAAGCAGCGCACGAGCCAAGAATGATAAACACGGAGGGTGGTTACTAAAGGATTTCTGGAGATCTGCCAAGACTGGCAAAACTGCCTGGCACGACGAGAACATCTCGAGCGGCAGTTGGAAGGCAGTTGGGAACTATTGTCGCCCAATGCGGGAGCGCGCTGACGCCATGGCAACTTTCTTGGAACGAGTGCACTGGAAAGCGCGCTTTGTCGAGGCGACGGACAGCGCCCCCTTGAGCCAAGAACTGCCGGTGTCCGAGGCTCCGTTCGCAAACCAAGAAACTGGCAACACTGTGAGGAAATTGAAATGGAACAAAGCTTCCGGGCCAGACGTCTCGGCGGAATACTGGAAGGCAATTTCGAAAACGCCGGGTTGGTTAGAATGGCTCACAGCGCTGTGCAATGCGTGTCTGGAATCAGAAGAGATTCCGACACAATGGCAGCTGGCGGCGATCTGACTCGAACGCAGTTCGGATTCCTTCGGGGAGAAGCACGACAGATGCTGTTCACGCTGTGAGGAGGTGCATCGACCGTGCGAATGCCGAGAATGACGAGACCATCGCTGTGGTCGCCCTCGACTGGAAGAAAGCGTTCGACACCATCAACGTTGAAGCGATGGGCGAAGCTATCCGGAAATTCTGCATATCTAGACGGATGCTGTCAGTCATCAGCAACAGACACAAGCACCGCGGATTCGATGTGGTCGACAACAAGCTCCATTCTCAGGAAAAGCGGCGATTGACCATAGTTTCGCTGGGGCGTCCACTGTCGCCATATCTTTCCGTCATGGTGATGTCGGTCGTAGTGGAAGACGCCATCAGCCACTTAGACGATGTAGCGAGGGAGGCGTCTGATGCAGGAGTTTCGTCCAATTTGCTTTACGCTAATGGCACGCTTCTCATCAGGAAACATCCATCCTGTGTACAACAGCTTCTGGATGAAATAGCAGCAGCAGGAGCCCGGGTGGGCATGAAACTACACTGGGATAAATTACAGCTGCTGTTAATCAACTGCGACGTTGACATTTGGTCCCTGTCAGGAGCGAGAATAGAGCCGAAAGATCACATGGTCTATCTGGGAGCAACTCTGTTCAATTCTGGTCGCCTTCGTAGCGAACTCAGCCGGCACATTGGGGCTGCCTGGGGGGATTCTCCAACTTTGAAAGAGCATGGAAGAGCACGTCGCTCGCAAGAACCAGGAAGTTCGAGATTTTTCAATCAATGGTAACGAGCAACATGCTATAATCTTTGGGCTATGCGTGGCTGAATAGATCAGAGCGGCGACGCTTGGATGGCTTCCAGGCAAGATGCCTCAGACGGATCTTGAACATTGCCTCGGCATATTTGTCGCGCGTCTCGAACATGAGCGTCCTCGAGGCCGCCAGCCAGGTGCCTTACAACGCGCACTTGTTGAAACCCCAGCATACGTGGCATGGAAGACTGGGGAGGGCCGACGACAAGGACAATCTCAGATCGCTGACCCTGCAACTGGGGACAATGTTGCCTACCCCTGCGCAACTCAATAGGAGGAGGGGCCTGCTGAGGAGCGATTGGGCCACGTTTACGTCAGAAAGTTCATAGCTGTTCTCGATCCAGCGAGGT